GCAAATCCCCCAGCGGGAGATCATGCACTCGCTAACGCAGCCACCGTCGGGAGAGGAGTTGACCCATGCCCTGAGACATCTGAAGAACGGCAAGGCTGGTGGCATGTCGCAGATCGTGCCTGAACTGTTGAAGGCTGGTGTGCCCGTCCTCCACCCACTCCTTCTGGACCTGCTTCAATCTGTCTGGTCGGAGGGTTACGTACCGCAGGACTGGCGTGATGCAGTGCTCATCCCCATACCTAAGAAGGGTGACCTTTCTCGCTGCGACAACTGGCGAGGAATTGCGTTGCTGGAGGTTGTGGGGAAGCTAGTTGCTAGGGTCGTGCAGAATCGGCTGCAAGTGCTCGCTGAGGATGAGCTACCGGAGTCGCAGTGTGGGTTCCGGCGAAACCGTGGTTGTGCTGATGCCATCTTCTCTGTCCGCCAACTGGTAGAGAAATCATATGAGCATAGATCGAAGCTGTTTTGCGTCTTTGTGGACCTCCGCAAAGCATACGACTCTGTGCCTCGTGAGGCTCTGTGGCAGGCATTGCTTCGGCTCGGTGTCCCCCCTCAGGCTGTGGCTCTCGTGAAGTCGTTCCATACGGACATGTCGGCGTCTGTTCGTGTTGCTGGTGGTTGTACCGATCCGATCTCTGTACAAAATGGTTTACGGCAGGGGTGTGTCATGGCTCCTGTGCTGTTCAACCTGTATTTCGGATTGGTGATGGAGCGGTGGAGGTCTGTTCTCAGGGAGCGCGGCATCGAGTCTGGTGTGGATTTCAGCTTCTTGATTAATGGACAGTTGTTTCCCCGTGCAGCTGGGCGACGTCGACAGTCTCAGACTGGTCATGCTGATGATTTTGAGTTTGCCGATGACGCCGTCCTACTCGCAACAACTCGTGCTGCAGCCGACCTGTCCCTGTCCGCCTTCTGCGATGTGGCATCCAGCTTTGGCCTCACGGTCAGCATGACGAAGACTAAGCTACTGGTCGCGGGCTATGGAGTCGCTGCCGCTGATTGTTCCGATCTGGCAGTTGGCAATGAAAGGGTTGAAGCTGTTACCTCCTTCCCCTATCTTGGATCTGTTATAACTCCGGATTCGCGAGCTCATGCCGATGTCCAGAGCCGCCTTGCGAAGGGTGCCAGGGCCTTTGGCTGTCTTCGGCGGATTTTGCATGATCAGAGCCTGAACCTGCCTACTCGACGGCATTTGTATGTGGTATGTGTTCTCACCACGGTTTTGTATGGCTCGGAGTGTTGGACCCCATTGAAGTCGGACTTGGACAAGCTGGACAGGTTCCATCACGCCAACCTACGGTCAATCCTTGGCATTTCGCGCGGCCGCCAGTGGGAGCAGCACATTACATCGGAGCAACTACGCACACAGTGGGGTGACCCTACTCCACTGTCGTGCATGGTACAGCGAAGACGCTTGGAGTGGCTTGGGCACCTAGCTCGGCTTGATAACAATCGGTTACCCAAGCAGTTGCTCTTCGCTCATCTTCCACGAACCCGCCCGTTTTGCGGCCCCCGACATCGCTGGAAGGACGTTGTCCAGGCTGATCTGACTGTGGCCGGTGTGCACAATTGGTTCCAATCAGCCAACGATCGCGGAGAGTGGCGTGACATAGTGTCGGCAGCAGCGGGGGTGAAGGAGCCTGCCCCGAAGACGATTGTGTGCCACGTTTGCGGCCGCCTGTTTCGTCGGCGCGCCGACATGGCCCGGCACAAGTGCACAGCAGTCCGACAGCTCCCCGTATCACAGCAGCCTGGGTCGGTGCAGTGTCCTGCCTTCAGTAGATGGCTCCGGAGCAGGGGTGGGCTTGCAGTGCATAAGTGCCTAGGGAGTGACAACTGTGACGACCCACCGCCTTTTGATGCTCCTCCTGTTGCCGAGGTCCCTGTGTGTACTGCCTGCCAGCGTACTTTCAAGTCTACTGCTGGCCTCAAGCGCCATCGCTGTGGACCCCGCCCGAAGCGCCCTACAGTGACTGATCGCCAGCACTTTGAACATCATTGCCGAGTCTGTAGTCAACGCCAGTTTCGGAGGCGACAGGACCTGGAGCGCCATTTGAAGCACTGCCTACCTCTCCCCTAACCTCTCTGACAGTACCTCCCTTTGGGGAGCGGCGTGGCCATTACTGGCAGCTGTCAATAGTAGTAGTAGTGTGTGTGTGTGTGTGTGTATCTGTGGGTGCACATCCAGTGCATTTGCAGATTTGCGTGCTTCTCTTGCGACGGGCGTTTACATGGTACATGGTACATGGTGTGTGTATGTGTGCATATGTGTGACTCTCTTTCCTCACTCTGGGCCTGGCTCCCTGTCACAATGGAGTGACGTGGCCCTATGCCAATGGGGCAGTCATACTATAGTAGTGTGTGTGTGTGTGAGCATTAATTTTGTTCTTACTCTGGATTGCTTCTTTGTGTGTATGTGTGTGCGTATATGCAATTGCGTTTTGCGTGCACGTCTTGTTTTGCATGTCCAGCTGCTGCTGGCTCTCTACTTTTCTGTTGCAGACGCACAGATGCAAGAACGTGGCACGTTACCCAAGTCCCTTAACTCACAACCGCAGTGGGTAATTTCTTTACTGTTTGTGTGCATGATGCTGTGAATAAAGATGTTTTGTTTCGCAATTGCCATTGTGAGTAGTAGCATTGTGAGTAGTAGCATTGTGAGTAGTAGCATTGTGAGTAGTAGCATTGTGAGTAGTAGCATTGTGAGTAGTAGCATTGTGAGTAGTAGCATTGTGAGTAGTAGCATTGTGAGTAGTAGCATTGTGAGTAGTAGCATTGTGAGTAGTAGCATTGTGAGTAGTAGCATTGTGAGTAGTAGCATTGTGAGTAGTAGCATTGTGAGTAGTAGCATTATTTCTGTGATTGGACTAGTCAAATTAGATGTAAGTTAATTTTTAAAGCATGTACCATGGCTCTAGGAGCTGCATCTGCGCCTTGATCCTTGGAGGGTGGTGGTGTTCCTACGGATGCAGAGACTCGGCCTCTAGCCGTGTCTCACGCGAACCGTGAATTTCACGTTCTTGACCCAACAGTTGTTGGACTTTCCGTTCAACACTATTGAACGCCGATCGCGCTAACGTTTTTTTGTCTTTATCTTCTCGCTCCGCCATGGCGGAGTGATTGCTAGTGGCAGCAGGAGCTGCCGCGTTTCCGTTTAGTTCAGATATCATCATTGATGCGATATTCATGTTCACGATCCCTCAACTCAGCGCACGGTATGAACGACTTCTTCAAGTTCTTGACTATAAGTTCTGGATACCATGGACATAGAATGCCTTGTTAGGGCCAGTGAGCGGTACGCGCATGCTGGGAACGCTTCCTACTGAGCAATGCCCATTCTCAGCAGAGCCATATCCATTTTAAAAGAGTATTTGACCACATGACATGTGTTCCCCTTCCCACACTGATCATGAATTTGCTTGAACAGTGAACATGCATGTACGTGTATTCGAAGTATTTACCTTTTCACGCGTGCCAGAAACTGTTAGATTTGCACGCGCGCCAGAAACTGTGACGTAAATGTTATGCATATAACTCTAATGTCTATCACTTTACATGGCATTTACCCATGGCGGGTGAGAGTTTACTCTATTTCTTATAGAACTGCACGGCATGTCACATGATGGCAGCTTCCGCCACTGTGCATCATAGGATGTGCAGTGTTTGCATCAACCAAGACGGTCTGAACCCTGCATTCTGTTTTCTGTATTCTGCACTTTATTATTCTGAATTCTGTATTCTGCATTCTGTATTCTGAATTCTGAATTCTGTATTCTGTATTGTGCACTCTATTCTGAATTCTACATTCGTCATTCTGTATTCTGAATTTTGAATTCTGTATTCTTCATTCTGTATTCTGAATTCTGCACTCTGTGATTACGTCGGGAAGCTATCGTGAGTTCCTTCGGGGACGAACACACTGGTTTTACACGGGTATTTTGTCTCGTGTGTGTGTTGGGGTGGGGTGGGGTGGGGAGTCATCATCATTGTCACTGAGAGAGCTGAATTTACTGAAAGCACAACGTAAATTGATAAAATCAAAAGACCTACACCAGACTGCCAGGATGTCAAAAGACTCGAAATGAGCTACAGTACAAGTACCAGGGCACCGCGGCAAGGCGCGCAGGGCATGTATATCATAAGTTCATAACGTGGGCTAGAAATCGAAATCAGTGGATGGCCATGCACAAAGTAATGAGAGGCAATGCAGAACAGCGCTTGAGTTGAACGAAAACGAGATCATGTAGAAATGAAACATGCATGTGCACACAATGACCTCATGCATGAGCACACAACGACCTCATGGATAATAAACAATGACCTCATGGATAATACACAATGACATCATGGATAATACACAACTGCCAAGATAATGATATTATGTGGATCACTAGTTGAGGGTGTGTTGGCAAGAGAAAACTGCGGGTAAGATCTGCAACAGCAATGTGTAGTTGTGCAACCGCTGCTGGCATCTGACATTGGTAAGAATGCTAGTAGGGCAACCACTATATGCACGGCGGTGTGTGTATTTGTGTTTGTGTACATGCATCCACATAAGGGGGGGGGGGGTACCTGCATACATGTAGGTTTGTGAGCATACTCAGTCAAGGTGGGATAGGCTGGCATGTCGACCAACTACTTGCTTGTGCGCAAGTATTATATGTGTTGCTGTGTGTGTGTGTGGGGGGGGGGGGGAGGAGAGGTAGTGATCCATTGGATGCCAGTTAATGTACACACAAGTAGGAGCCGCAGGAATGGCAGTGGTGCCGGTGTTCCGGGGGGGGGGGGGGGGGGGGGGGGAGAAAGGACAATTTGGAAAAGGTAGACTTGAAATTGGCAGCAAAATCTTTCAAAAAGAAAAGACATGTGCAGATACAGGCCTCATGAAGCAAACAATGGGCAAGATAAATTCCAAAGAGCACAAGCAATACAAATCGAAACTGCGAAGAACGATTAAAAGTTACGATATACATTGTGCATGTCGGTGGCAAGAGTGTATTCGCATAGACATACTCATAGACATACTCATAGACATCGCCACACTCTGAATGGTACGTGATGGATGCTGAATTGTGCAGGCCAGTATGCAGTAACACAATCAAAACTGATCATTTTGACAGAACTGATGTGGGCAAGAATGGGACAACGGTGACTGTACCTCATGTTACCCCGCAGACACACTGCCCTGGCGTGTCCCGCAAGCAGGGCAGCAAGCAGAACAGTTGATGGCATGGTGATTCTCCTCTCTCTTCCCTAGCTGCAAGGGAAGCAGAAAGAGAGAGGGAGAGAGAGAGACACACACACACACTCAGTGTGATGACACAGCATAGCTCCTAAAAGTATAATCACAGTGCACAATGCTAATAATGTGTTGAGACGGTAGATGTTTGAGAGGTTCTGGACATAGTGAGTCCTTTGTCTGTAGACGTCACGGCCTTAAAGGTCCAACACCAGTTGCAAGAGTACCTGATGAACAACAAGAGTGTGCCGTTCTAACGGCTGCTATATCACGGCGCTATTCCGTGATTACATCATATTTGTGATGCACTGCGTACAAGCAGTATTCAAACAGGTCTTCCGCAGCACAACTGCAGCTTAGTTGCACGCACTGCGCCACCCCCTCGCCCCATACGTTGTGCATACGTTGTAATAAAGGTAAAAAGAAGCAGCATGCTCAATGTGTGATCATTTGTGCGTCCGTAATAACAGTGCACGACGTCAGCTGTGCACAGATAAACTAGATGCCCGTGGGTGGATGCGTGTGGGATGAGCATACAGAGGCGTCAGACACGCTACGATCACTACGGTATTGACCGCACCACTCTTAGTCCCGACACCCTGTGCATCAATAAAAAGCACTGATCTGGGCTCTAAACTCAGAACGCTTTTCTGGGGAGCCACCCCAACCCCGGGAGGAAATTGTACATCAGGTGGCTGACGTGAACAGCGTAAAATACCTTCCGACGCCCCTGGCGTACATAATAATACTTCAAGTACAACATAAATCCGTTTCATGCTCACACCTGCCTGTTGCCTGCCACCCTCCTGGCACTTCTACTGTCGCGCCTTGGACGGCACCAGCTTTCTCCCCATACCTTACACCAGATGTGGCGCTAAATTTGTTTATACTTGTGGCCCTAAGTGTTTATAAGCATACTGTTGGGTAGACCCGAGTATCAGTTGTCCTATGGCCGCTGAGTCTGCTATGTAATAATGCAACATACGTACTGCATACGTACCACGAACTCCCGTTCAGAACAGCTGCACAGGATGCTAGCGGAGACTCTGGCAGCATAGGTCTATCTCTGGCAGGGCTGGCCAGGCGGAGCGCAGCACCAGCATTCCCATTTCACTGCGCTCCAGGCTCTCGGCCGAGCGCAGTGCCGACATGACGTGGCGTAGGAACTCCAGCGGGTCGACAACATCACCACCAAGCTCGCGCTCACTCTTGATATGTCTGACGGTCTCTTTGCTGCCACTGTCAGGTGCAGGAGATAAACTAAACACGTCGGCAATGGCGGACATGTTGGCCAGCATCTCCGCACGATCTCGTCCCCAGAACAGTCCACCAGAGAAGCAGAGGATCTCTCCAAACAGTCGTCGTAGCGACACTCGTAGTCGTGGCAGCGGAGAAAGTGCTTCACCAGCCAAAGTACACCGCCAATCGGACATGATTGATTGCATCTTGTTTCCCAGACTAGCGTACATCAACAGAGATGACGATCTGCTCCAGTTGCCAGCATTTTTTCGGTGAATCTTGGAAAGCTCGTTGGCCTGAAATGGGCTGATCAGTATGATTGTAGCGCTCTCCGGGTGATTGACCACCAGGACCCACTCCACTGGTCTGAGGAAGTCATCCATGTTGCTCAGCACATCTGCATCTTCAACGGTTCTACGAAACGAGTGTGTTGCATGTAGGTGTGCATTGCAGTTCCACAGCCTGCTGCTCACTGCCGATTGGAACTTAGTGAGTGAAAGCTGCGTCCCTTCAAAGCAACGCCAAACTGGAGTGAGATCGTTAGGGCCGACTTGACCAACCAACTTGCCATGCACAGCCATTTCCTCCAAATACGGCCCCAGGAATTCTTTTACAGGCTTCTTGGGCGGTGGAAGTTCTCGCTCGCGTTCTTCCTCTATCTCCTGCTCGAGCTCCCTCTCCTGTTCCTCGTCTAGCTCCTGGGCGTAGCGACATTTGTGCGGCACGAGTTGAGTGCAGCGCTCCACAATCTCCCCCGCACCTTGCAGTGACTTGCCTCGCTGTGCCACTATGTCAGCTATTGATTGCAAGCTCCGGACTTGACCATACATCTCACATAGCTCTAGACGGTCTTGTAAGCTGCACTCTTTACCGGTCCTCCTAATGACGTCATCGGATACATCAGTTGCTCGGCACGGTTCAAGAGCATTCTCAGTGTGTAGATGAGCAAGACCCTGACTGGCCCAAGAGTAGAAACTATCCTCTGTTGCTGAAATACTGTTTTGAAAACACCACTGTACAACATGCTTGTGCTCAACATCAGATGCCGGAGAAAGCCTGCACAGCTGCCGGATCTGACGGTCGATTTCTGGTGGAGCCCAGAAGCTGACCGAGTGCGTGCTTCGCAAGCGTCGCATACGCATGCACGCCTGTACAAACTCATCTCGACGAAGGTTCTTTCCCAGAGTGACTGCCGCTCTCGTTCCATCGACCATTTGAAGATCGGTACCTCTGCAATGAGCATGATCCAAGTAGACGAGACATTCACTTAGATTGCTGGCGTAGGGACTCAGTTCCAGTTTACATGCGTTGTGACTACGACGGTCTAGCACACGTAATTGATTAGCCGAGTCAAAGTAGATAACTGCTTCTTTGTCAGTGCGCTGCTTGAGCCATTGTTTTGCAAACTCTTCATTGCTCAAATCCAGCACAACTGCACCTGCGTCGATAATAGTGTTGATCGGACCTGCTTTCACTGCTCTTGATTTTTGTGGAGATTTGATCTTCGGGGCTCCTGCCACCATGCCTTCAGGTTTAGCTGCTGCTGCTGCTGCTGCTGCTGCTGCTGTTGTCGCTGCTGTTGCTGTTGTTGGTGACAAC